AGCCGTCTCTTGGTTTGAAGGGGATTTCTAGGTCATCAGATCAAGGGCTCTTGAATCCTTTTGCTGTCCCAGCATCCCGGGGCTTGTTTGCTTTGTGAGTACTCCTGTTTCTGGCAAACTGTTGCTTGGGTGACACCAGCAGCTTGGTTATGGTGTTGTTGATGGACTAGACTCACAAACTGTCACGTAATTAAAGTGTCTGATAATAAAAATAGTCCTGCAGTGTTTATACACGTGCTTTCTCTTGTTACATGGGAGCCTAAGTCTTTTCATTCTGTCTGTGGGCATAAACATTTGCAGTCCATAATGTTTCATGTTCCACGTTGCTTAGGAAAAATAAACATTTTCCTTTTTTTGTTGCCAACAACAACTATCACCAAATAATCCGGAAACAAACTGTCAGGCCCCAGGAGGTACTGCTTGATGGTGCCACGGAGTATGGGAAGCGAGCGGAGAGGAACCTCCAACTGTGTCTGCACGGCCAGCCACCGCGGCACCTCCCGCTTGGCCTCATTTGGCCAAAGTTTGGCCTTTGCGTTCCCTCTGCCTCTGTCTGCAGCGGGCCCGGGCTGCAGCCCAGCACGGAGGAGCCGTTCTTGTAGCAGAAGTATTTTGTGTAAGCAAAGAATTTGTAGTTAGAGGGGTTGGGAGACTCTGCCTCGTTCTGGGGGAGGTAGGATCCGTAGGTCTGGTGGCTTTGCCCAGGCATTGCTCCCACCTACTTTCCATTGTTTCCACTAAGAGTGCCTCGACCAGCAGTACGCATAGCTCAGGGTCTGACCAGACACAAACGTAATCTGTTGTTGCCATGAAACTTCAGCTGCAGCACCAGCACCTTCCGAGGCCGGTCAGCTTCTGGGACACAACCTGACCAGAGCGGAGCTGGCTCCAGTTTTACCCCTAACCATCAGCTGTAGCTGCCCTTTCAAATCCAACCTCTGCAAACCCATGCTGGGCTGAGAGGCAGGCTGGAACGCTGTGCATCACAACAGTGATCTCAGGCAGGAGCATTCCCGCAGCCTGGTAAGGGGCTGCAGACCCCTGGGGGGCACAGCCACCTGAGAGTGGACAGAAATAGGGTGAGAGAACTGTCTTACTTGAGAACTGCAGGAAAAAGCATCTTTGCTCCCCTTCCCCACGTGTTGAACTAAGGGCAGGAGTGCTCCAAGCTGCAGGCTCATTGCTGGGAGGAGGATAGTGCGACCTGCCAAAGAGGCAGCAGACACCAGGGGCTCACCAAACACCAGGTAACAGGAGAAAGCAGGGAGAAATGGAAAAGCAGCAGCAGAAGGGACAGGGCAGTGGGGAGAAAACGCCTGAGCTTATCCCCTAGGTGAGCTAGATCCCAGAGCAGAAGAGGAAACAGCCCCCAGTGACAGGGGAAGTATCCAAGACTGATGGGATGCGCGTTGTAACTTGTCCAGTCGCTCCTGTCTGACAGGGAGAGGGTCCTCCTTTCACATCCAGGCTGCAGAGCCAGGCAGGAGCCCAGGTAATTAGGCACTTGACAGAGGAGACAAGTTTAAGTTCAGGGCAGGCAGCAGAGGATGGACCCAGGCAGAGGAGAGCACGGGGTTTGTTATCACCAGGCACTGGCCTCACTCTTGAGTATTTTCACTCACAGCATTGCTGATACTCCGCTGTCATTGCGCTGCTCTGGCTGCATCTCCTCCCCGGAGGCTCTGGAGGGCGAGTGCTGCCCAACACAACACAATGAGGTTAAAGATGCTCCCGGCTCCTCGGGATGGCTGGGACGCTTCCTGGGAAGCTTGGCTGGTGTTCATCTGGCCCCAGCAGACCCAGAAGTGATGGCTGTTTTACTGCAGCACTTGAGGGCTGATAAAGCTGCGAGGAACCGAGTGGGCAGTCTGTACCTCCACCATGGTTTCTGCTCTCCCATGGGATCTGTCCTTTCCCTCCTGTGCCCTCCCAGCCTTTCTGGCACAAGGCTGCTAGGACAAGGCACTTTCTTTGCAAGGAGCTGCAAACGCCTGCCCTGGGCCGCAGGGACTTTGCTTTTGGTCTTTGGTAATCCTTTCCCCTCCAGTGGTGGCATGGGAGCAGTGGGGATGCCTTGACAGTTACCCAGTAGCCAGTGCCCTCCTCATCCTCTTTTCACAGTTTGCACTTTCTCCAGCAGCAGCACAGCCCTAAGGAAGCCCCTAAGCTCACACTGGGGGTATTACACCACAGCTGGGGAGCACAAAGCAGCATCTCCCCAGGAGAGGGTGGCCTCAGCACTGGGTGGGAAGGGGACCTTAAGCAAAACGACACATTGTCTAAACCTTGGGAGGTGCCTGCAGTGAGGTGTGTCCAGCCAAGGAGACTGAAATCTCCAGCCTGATGTGTCTCTTGAGCATTGTTTGGCAAGTGGTTTATAACCGTCACATTTCCACTTGCCGGCTGCGCCTGCCGTGGCATTTTCCAGCCCTTTCCTGCCATGGTGCTAATGTCGGAGCAGTGACGACAGGCAGAGCCTCGCTGTTTGTCCAGGGGCACAGGGGCAGCAGGGCAGGTCTCGCCTCCTGCCTCCACCCTGTTGGCAGGGCCACGCTGTGTCCCCTTGCAGAGGGCAGGCGGCAGGAGCAGGGAAGGTTCTGCCTAAAGCAAGGTGGGGTTTGGATGGCTGGAAGCTGGGATTCATGCCAGTGGCCTCGAGTTAACCAAAGGGGACAGAGAAAAGCTACCTCTGGTCTGCCCCTGAACATGGGATCGCTCAGGGTGAGAAGGAAACTGGCAGTTCCTCCTCTGTCCCTGCTCAGAGGAGGGTGATAATCTCCAGTTTACGCCAGTGCCACCAAACAGGAAGGCAGCTTCCCTTCCTGGGAGACCAGGAGGAGTGTGCTTAGCATAGCCAAGACAAAAAAAAACAGGAGTAAGCCCATCTGGGTCAGCCTCAGCCCACTTACCTACCCGGGCAACTCCTGAGGGTTCCCAGTGCTCCCAGTTCTACAGTGAGGGCTCTCCCCAGGGTCCATCTCCACTGCTCCCCATGTCCCTCGATGTGGCTGTCCTGCACCTCCTGGCCCTGGAAAACCAGACACATTAGTCACCCCATGTCTGTGGGCAGCAGGACCTGCCGCCGGTGGCAGTGGGTGCTCTTGAGTGTACCCCGGAGCAAGGAGCCGAGTGGCCCTCCAGGGTGGGCTCTGGTGACACAGGTGCCATTGTGCGCTTGGCAGAGGGTCTCGTCAGGGCTGGGAGCAAGATGTTGGCCAGGACATGAGCTTTATCAGCTCCTCCTGCCAGCTGTCCTTCGCAGGCACTAGCTGCCAGCGCAGGCAGGGTGCCAGCAGCTCTTAGACAGAC